TAATACAAAATTCACATTCTAGGGTCCATTAGATTTTATTGGAACACAGCCACACATTTATTTATGTATAGTCTATGGCTGTTTTCATGCTACAATGGCAAAACTGAATAGTTGTGACAGAGACTGTGTGGTCTGCAAAATCAAAAATATTTACTATCAGTCTCTTTATAGAATAAATGTGCCAACCCTGGTTTAAAAGAATGTGTAAAAAAGGTGGAGAAAAGGAAATAATATAACCAAGGGTAGATTAAAGTGAAGGACAGGTAAAAAGAGAGGATATTTAGCCTTAAAGAGGGGTGTTTGCAGGTCTGGGGTGATTATGATGGAGGCATGGGAACTGCATTGAAATATTTGAAGGATTGTCATACAGAGGAGGAAATCGGCCTATTCTTTAATGAATGCAAAAGTTATACTTAGGACCAATTGTTGGAAACTATAAGAGAACAAATTGTAGCTTTGCATAAGGGAAAATTTTTAACATGTCCAACAGTGGAATAACCAGCCTTGGAAGGTGGTGAGTCCCCCATCATTGGAGGAGTTCAGACAGGCTGGACAACTAAACAGTAGGGATCTAATAGAAAGGATTGAAGCATCAATTTGAATGATTTTTAAAGTTCCTTTCTAATTTTGAGAGTCTATGATTTTATGAATTCCCACTAGTGAGAATCCACATGAAGGGAAGATTTCTGAGTACAAAATACACCTTTGATTACATCACTCTTCCTGCTAAAAAATTGTCGATGAGATCCTTTTGTCAACTGAATTAAGTAAAAGTCCTTAGTTCTTTGTTCTTAGTTTCTAGGTTTTTTTGTACAGGCATATCTCGGAGATATGTGGGTTTGGCCCCAGACCACAACAATAAAGTGAATCTCAATAAAGCAAGTCACATGAATTTTTTGGTTTCCCAATGCATATAAAAATTGTATTTGTCTGGTTGTGGTGGATAATGCCTGTAATGCTAGCACTTTGAGAGGCCAAGGTGAGAGGATTGCTTGGGGCCAGGAGTTCAAGACCAGTCTGAGCAACATAGACCCTGTCTTTACAAAAAATAGAAAAATTAGTCAGGTGTGTGGTGATGTGCACCTGTAGTCCCAGCTACTTGGGAGCCTGAGACAGGAGGATTGCTTCAGCCCAGGAGTTTGAGGTTGCAGTGAGCTATGGTGATGCTATTGCACTCTAGCCGGGGCAATAGAGTGAGACCCTATCTCAGAGAAAAACTGATATTTACACTATACTGTTGTCCACTAAGTGTGCAGTAGCATTATGTCTTAAAAAACAACATATAGACCTTAATTAAAAAATATTTTATTGTTAAAAATTACTAATGGTAATCTGAGCCTTCAGTGAGCTGTAATGTTTTTGCTGGTAGAGAATCTTACCTCGATGTTGATGGCTGTTGACTGATCAGAATGGTGGTTGCCCAAGGTTTGGGTGGCTGTGGCAATTTCTTAAAATAACACAACAATGAAATTTGCCACATCATTGACTCTTCTTTTCACAAAAGATTTCTCTGTACCATGCAATGCTGTTTTAGAGCATTTTACCCATAGTAGAACTTCTTTCATGATTGAAGTCAATCCTCTCAAACCCTACCACTGCTTTACCAGCTAAGTTTACATAATATTCTAAATCCTTTGTTGTCCTTTCAACAGTGTTTTCAGCATCTTCACCAGGAGTAGATTCCATCTCAAGAAACCACTTTCCTTGCTCATCTATTAGAAGCAACTCCTCATCTGTTCAAGTTTTATCATAATATGGCATGATAAATTCAGTTACATCTTCAGGCTGTACTTCTAGTTCTCTTGCTGTTTCCACCACATGTGCAGTTACCTCCTCCACTGAAGTCCTGAACCCTCAAAGTCTTCCATGAGGGGTAGAATCTACTTCTTTTGAGCTCCTGTTAATATTGGTATTTTGACCTCCTCCCATGAATCATGATAGTTCTTAATGGCATTTAAAATAGTGAATCCTTTCCAGAAGGTTGTAGATGTACTTTGCTCAGATCCACCAGAGGAGTCACTAATTACAGAAGCTATAGCCTTACAAAATATATTTCTTAAATAATAATACTTAACAATCAAAATTACTCCTTGATTCATGGGCGACAGAATGGATGTAGTGTTAGCAGACATGAAAACAACATTAATCTCCTTGTACATCTCCATTGGAGCTCTTGGGTGACTAGGAACATTGTAAATGATCAATAATATTTTGAAAGAAATCATTTTTCTGAGCAGTAGGTCTCAAAAGTGGGCCTAAAATACTCAGTAAACCATGCTGTAAACAGATGTGCTGTCATTCAGGCTTTGTTGTTCTATTTATAGAGCACAGACAGAGCAGATTTAGTATAATTCTTTTTTTTTTTTTTTTGAGACAGAGTCTCACTCTGTTGCCCGGGCTAGAGTGCCATGGCATCAGCCTAGCTCACAGCAACCCCAAGCTCCTGGGCTCAAGCCAGTTTTAGTATAATTCTTTAGGGCCCTAGGATTTTTGGAATGGTAAATGAGCATTGGCTTCAACTGAAAGTCACTAAGTGTATTATTAGCTCCTAACGAGAGAGGCAGCCTGTCCTTTGAAGCTAGGCACTTTTCCATTCTAGCTATGAAAGTCCTAAATGGCAGCATCTTCCAATAATCAGCTTATTTTGTCTATGATGAAAATCTATTGTTTAGTGTTGCTACCTTTTCTAGATTTTCTGGGTAATTTGCTACAGCTTCTGTGTCAGCGCTTGCTGTTTTACCTTGTACTTTTATATTATGGAGACAGTTTCCTCAAACTTCATGAATCAACATCTGCTATCTTCAAACTTTTCTTCTGTAACCTCCTCACCTCTCTGAGCCTTCATGGAATTGAAGAGTTAGGGCCTTGCTCTGGATTAAGCTTTGGCTGGTTTGATCTTCTATCCAGACCACACAAACGTTCTCCATATTAGCAATAAGGCTGTTTGCTTTTTTATCGTTCATGTGTTCACTAGAATAGTACTTTTAATTTCCTTCAAGAACTTTTCCTTCTTATTCACAGTTTGGCACAAGAGGCCTACTTTTGGCCTGTGTTGACTTTGAACATGCCTTCCTCACTAAGCTTAATCATTTCTAGCTTTTGATTTAAAGTGAGAGATGTGAGACTCTGCCTTTCACTTGAACACTTACTTAGAGGCCATTGTAGGGTTATTAATTGGCCTAATTTCAATATTATTGTGTTTTATGGAATAGGGAGGCCCAGGGAGAAGGGAGGAGGATAAAGGAATCTCTGGTCAGTGGAGCAGTCAGAACACACAAAACATTTATTTACTAAGTTCGCCATCTTATATGGGCATGGTTTGTGGCACCTCAAAACAATTACAAGAGTAAAATGAAAGATCACTGATCACAAATCACCATAAGGGATATAATAATAATGAAAAAGTTTGAAATACTGTGAGAATTACCAAAATGTGACACTGAGACGTGAAGTGAACACATTCTCTTGGAAAAATGGTGCCTATAGACTTATTCAATGCAAGATTGCCACAAACCTTCAATTTGTAAAGAGCACAATATCTGTGAAGCTCAATAAAGTGTAGTGCAATAAAATGAGTTATGTCTGTACTTTGATCCTAACTTAGCCTTATCTGTCAATCTTAAATTGTACAACATTTCTCAAGTTGATTTCTACCAAACTTTGTTCCAGGATATGCAAATAGATGAGATGCAGAACAAGGGTTCTGTGTTCAAATAGATTTGGGACATGCTGATAATGAATCCTGCCCTTGACACTTCCACTCTAAATTAGAATGCTAAAAAAAGGTCTGAGAAGTCCTGCCATGAAGAAATTTATTTAACCTTTTTTCTTTCTTTTTTTTTTTATTTCAGCATGTCGTGGGGGTACAGATGATTAGGTTATGTATGATGCCCTTACCCTCCCTCCCCGCGAAGTCTGAGCTTCAAGTATTTAACCTTTTTAAAGTCCAACATTGCTCTTATACATTTGAGCACAGAATGTATTTTGCCACAGCTATTAACACTACACTTTTCCATTTGTTATTTTCCTATTCTCTTCTGTTGCTTTCATTGTTTTTGCATCTCCTCTCTTCCTCTTGTGTGCTATTTTTCTTCATCCAACTTCATTCTTAAATCCAGTGTAGGGGAATGGTGAGAGAAAGATAATTAGACTACAGAACTGTGGAAACAGTTTGAGGCCCTGTGAACCATTCCCTATAATTCCTGCAAAATAGGAAAAATAGAGAGGTACAAGAATCTAGGAGAATATATAAAAGAAGAAATTATAGAAAAGGAAAGTCCTTTTGACATCATGAAATTTCTTAGTCATTTCATAGTGACTTAGTTATTCAAAAAGTGAGTCACTGTTTTATTGGTAATCTTGCCTGTCTCCTTGTAATTTCTGGTTTTTAGCTAGTGTTCTGTTTATGATACCATCTATTTAATTAGGCAGTCTTAAAGCATGTGAATAAAAAATGGAATCGGTATCTCCAGAGAACATAATATGACCTATGCTAGGAAGGTAACATCTGTTCTTTGCCATTCCTTGATGGCTTTCTCTAGAGAGATTATTTTTCTGTGTCTGGAGTAGTTAGTGACAAGGTAAAAGGAATGAAGGTAAGAACTTATCATATAGTCTATTTATAATCATTTTGAGATATTCTACTTCCCTGCATCGGAGACTGTATCAAAAGTATTAGTTTTATTCCCTGAATCACCCACATGAACCATGAATATGTATCTAAAGACATCTGCAGTCAAGGCAACTATTGCTTATTGAGAATAATAATAGCCAGAGGGTATAGCTTAATGATTCAAGAATCAGCTTCAGATAAAGACTGTATCCAGTCTCCCTAGAAACCAACGATCAAATCTCATCAGGGTCTACTTAGCCCTTTCTATAATAGATAAATTGAATAACATGCTGTTTAATTTGTATGTGTGTTATTGAATGAAGGTATGAAGAGTATTTGGTCTGCATATTAAAGATATCACCATTGTTTTGGTAAGTAAGGAAGATTCCAGTATTATTTTTTCTAAATTATTTAACCTTGAGTAATCAAGGATGCAAAAGAAACTTGAATGTAACAGTGTTATATAAAATTATTTTTAATAGGTAAACAATAATTTGTTAATGAGTAATTTTGTTTTCTGACTAGACTCTCTGGTTTTCTGCCTCTTTTGGGGCTTGCTTTAGAGAGTAGAAAATGCTTGGATGTTGATAATGTTTTTTTATCTGACATTTCCTATGTTTTATGTCATTTTTTCTGGATTTTATTTGGAAAGATAAAGCTGTATTTTAAAAATAGTTACCATTCTTAAATATTTTAAAAATTGCCCAAGACTTAAATGTTCATTGCAGAAAATTTGGAAAATACTGCCTAGTATCAGGAAGAAAGTGAAAGTTGCCAATGGTTCTACTCTCAGAGACAGTTGCTGTTAACCACTACTAACATTGTTGTTAATGTTCTTTCAGCTATTTATGTGTATATATGTATATAATAAGATGTGCCTGTGTATTCTATTTCCAAATTACCAAAACTTTAATTAGTTCCCAGTATTTCCCTGTTAACACTGCTTTAAACGTTCATTCGTAAATCCTCATATACATCTCTTATTTCTTTATGGTAAGTTTCTAGGAATGGAATTTTTAGGTTAAAGGTTATAAAAATTTTAAGATCCTTCATGGATATTTCCAGTTTGCTTTCTATAAATGTAGTATAGTAGTCTGCTTGTGCTGCCATAACAGAATACCAGACTGGGTGGCTTAAGCAACAGAAATTTATTTTCTCACAGTTCTGGAGACTAGAAGTCCAAGGTCAAGGTGCTAGCAGGGTTGCTTTCTGGTGTGGCCTCTCTTCCTGGCTTACAGATGGCAGCGTTCTGCACAGTGTCCTCACGTGGCCCTTTCTCTGAGTGTGCACAGAGAGAGAGAGATTTTTGATGTCTCTTCCTCTTATAAGGACACTAGTGCTATTGGATTAGGTAGGGCCTCACCCTTATGACCGCATTTAAACTTAATTACCTCTTTAAAGGTCCCATCTCCAAATATGGTCACAGTGGAGGTTAGGCCTTCAAAATATGAATTGTAGGGAGGCACAGTTCAGTGCATAACAGGTAGTAACACTGACACTCCATCATCAGTGAATTGAGAGTTCCTATTTCACCATCTCATTGCCAACATTGGATATGTACACCACACACACGCACATGCACACAGACATGCACATGTTGCCAAATTGACGAAGATGGCATTGTTACTTTACATTTCTTTAATCAGTAGTGCAGTGAAACTTGTTTTTTAATATTTGGACATTTTTTGTGAGTTTTCTATTCCTGTGCTTTGACTTTTTTTTTTTTTTTTGGTTGGGGTTGTT